GGGGGGGGGGGGGGGGGGGGGGCTGAAGGACACTGGTGAAAATGGCCAGCCCCACAACCTGTTATGAGATCCCTCAATTTTCTTTCCACCAAACAAAGCCCTAGGGCGCAGCTTTTTGCCATTTTTATTCCCTACAAATACTTGAGGGGCTCAAAGCATTCTTGGAAGTAAAGAGAATACTGGAGTTTGGTGTTTTTCTTTGAAAAAAAATAAATATGAAAATAACACACTACAAAAACATGCGCGCGCACACACACACAAAGGACAAGGGAGATGCATTTGGACTAATCAGTGTCTACCAACAGCATGTTAAACAACCCAGCTATAGAGACAGGGACACGCAGTAGAGAATGTCAATGAAAACTAATCAAAATGCCAACAAAGCTGAGTATTTGCAGAAACAGTTAGCGTTTTACCCTACACAGTTGATTGAGAAACAACACTAATGGCCAACTCATCATCAACATCTATGGAAAGGCTTTACCTCTAACAATTGATCCCCATATTCAAGGCCGGCCTGATGTGCAATGCTGCCACCTGTTACTTTTGACACAAATATTCCACCATTTTCACCACACACGATGGAGATCCCCAGGGGCTCCGCGCCCTTTTGCACTTTGACATGACGTGGTTCTTCCATATATGGTCTTTGGAGGAAAAGAGCACAAGGACACCTCTTCAGCAAATGAAGACAGAAAAAATTACATGGAGGGCATGCACTGCGCCCACCGTCCCCTTTAAAAATGGAACAGCGGCCACTTTAAAATGGTGACTAAAATGCTGGAAATGGCAACATTCCTTTCACATGCAAGGGAGAGAAGCTGGGTCAGGTGGACTTCAACTGAACAGTATTGATGCAGTTGGAGCTGATATGAAGGGCATGGAAAGCTAAAATAAATTATAAATTGAATGATGGTGGAAACGTTTGGAAATACAACACATCTTTATCCATATTATATATAGATAAATAAGCATATATAATATGCAGTTCAGAATACATTCTAGAAAAAAAGCCTTACATCGATTTATAGCTGTTTTGGAACCTTAATAATGTATTTCTATATCAATATAGAGATATTGTTATAGTACACGGTGGTGAATCACGAGATGAAGAAGGGAAAACTCAATTCCGATATTTTATATATTTCTATGCAGGTAAAACACAATGTTAGTCAATGGAAATTAAGCAGCTATAAAGCAAACTCAAGCCATTAACGATGGCGGCTCGCATGGTAGCAATGCAATTACCATGCAGTTTTTCCTTGGGGGGATTATCCAAACATGTAAATGGCACACGAATACTGCTCAAGGACAACCTGTATATCAAGCCAACCTCAAACTCCTTAGGGAACAGAACCTTGGCGTAGGAGCCACAGGGATTCTCAGAAAAGACCTATTACGGAACAAATATCTGAAAGGTGAAGAAGGATGAAGAAAGAAAGAAAAAAGAAAAAAAATGCCTTAGAGAAAAATATAGTAGCCAAGGCTAATTCTATACATTGATGCAGGGAAATATGCCATTAGTGTCGGTCAAGTGCCACTACAGGCTCTTGAATCCTGGTTTATGTTGCAAAACATGTTAAACAAGGCCTCAGTCCCCTGGGGTACAGAGTACTGTAGACTCCTTAACTGAGCATGCAAAATTCTGGACAGAGCTACCGTCTTCCACGCATGCAGTAAAAAAACGACCCAAGCTTCCCTAAGTACACTGCTCTGCTGTTGATATGAGCCATTCTTGCTAAGCAACCAAAAATAAGTTGGTGGCCCCTCCTTGGCAACCAATTGCTAGGGAGGGGGACACCAACTTCACAATCATCTACTTTCTTTTGTTTCCTGGCTAAAATGCAGCAAAAGCCACAAAACCACGTTACTAACCAGGACAGCAATACCTTGACCATGGATAAACCAGGGCAGATTAAGCACAGGAGAAAATGTAACACGTATAAAATATGGCAACCATGGGACTATGGAAATGGTATGAAGTAGAAGGAAGGAACAACAAACTGAAACTGGACAACTATAATTGAGAGTAAACCCGGTGCTACAGGATACTATCCTTTGGTCTCATGGGGAACATGTTTGTGGTCACAGGACAGCTTCCAGAATCACCCGAGAAGTCTTCTGTGTGTCGATCAACATTGCCAATTGAATGGGCCTACTTGGCTCTGTACCAGAGACCAGCATATTTAGAGTTGCAGATGTTTACTAATCTGGAGTTTTCCTGATGGGTGGGCACTGCAAATTGCAGCATTCCCAACTAGCAGGGTATTAAATCTGGAAGATACAGTCCCAGTACACCTGGGACGTGTGGAGAAAACTCCATTCTAGAAATTGGAGCTTCCCGTTTTGGGGCAAAGGTACCCCCCTCCTCACAGCTCTGCTTCTAGCCCCTCTGGCAACTCTTCCTTTCTGATTCACACCCACCTCCTCTCACTCAATCCCAACCTTCACCTCAATGAAGCTGGAAGGAAGATCACTTGTTCAAGGCCGAACAGTAAGGTTCTGCCATAAATATTTAAATAAAACGGGCCCACAACCAACGTACGGATTCCCTTATTCAGATTTGGAAAGTAAGGCTTCCAGAAAAGCTTAGAAAGAGATCATGAACCTTTGACTGCCCCAGGTAGCCATAAAGGACTCTTGTCCTAGAAACTATCTCAAAGCAACGTAGCACTTTGGCTGAATTACTTTATTTTTTTTAACTGTTCCATTTAGAAATGTGAATATTGAGTAATTACACGGTTAAATTTTGTAAGCAATATCTATGACCTAAGAAAGGTGAACTCATTAATCGTAATCTATTTGAGGGGTATTCTGTATTTGTGCAGAATCTGCTCAAATTCTGGCTTATGTAGGATGTAAAACTGAGAAATAATAAATACACAGAATTCCATAGAATTTTTTTAAAAAATTCCTAGCTCTGCAGATTAAGTTTCTTAACCATTCCTGTTTGGATTCTCTTTGTCTCTAAAGGTATATAATTAAATTAGCCCTTTTTGCCAATTAGGGGATTGAGTCTGGGGAATCTACTGGTGGATTCCAGTCAATCAATAAACTATTTCAATTGACCAGATTTTTTTTAAAAATGTACCCTACGCAAGAAATCGAAATGGTGGCAACAGCTAGCTGAACTTGTTGGGCTTCTAAAGCTAAACAAAGTTGGAATTGGTTAGTTCTTGTAATAAGAGATCACCTGGGAATGGGTGGAAGGGTGGAGAGTGTAAAATAGACTGGGAAGCTGAAATAAACGTCCCCAAAGAAGGCAATGGAAGACCATTTTCCACACTGTTGCCAAGAAAACTGCATGGATCTCAAGTCACCAGGAATTGAGCTTGCCCAAGCGAAGTCTTTACTTCTGATATAAAGTATCGGCATAACGACAACTACAACTTACTTGTCTTTTCGACGTTGTCCTATTGACACTGGGCTCACTGAAATCCTGGGCAAGGTGGAAAGAGAATTTTGTGATTGGCTGCTGGCAAAAGATGAGGTTTCCAGGTTAAGCGGTGACTGGGGAGGTGTTACCAGGCTGGGACTGCTACATTCGGAATGAGACAATGAGCCTGCATAAAACGACAGATGAGGATCCATGATACCTTCATGCTGATCAACTGCAAACTTTCATTTTATGAAAACAGCAGGTAGTTCACACATTCCTACTGGGTTACCTCCAAGCATTTTACACTGGATTTCCACCAAAAGCAAATCAATCAACCTCTCTCTCTCTGCAGTTTATGTTGAGAGAACCTGACATGAAGTTGTACAATGGATTATCAAGTACTCCGACTCTCTTCTAGGATATTCCATCCCATTCCTTGCCCATTTCCAGGGTTTTCTCCTCCAGAACAGCCGATCAGCAATCCAGAGCAGACTCAGTACTCATTGGACCTTTTTGGGATGCTACTTATCTGAGATACTTTTTTCCCCTTAAAGATATTTTGCCCTTCGGGTTGCCCTCAAACAGGCCAATATTTCCATCTAGACACTGATGATGCTATTTTGGCTGTACCAGGACTGGCACTTGAGCCAAATTTAGGCATAAGCACCGTAAGCTGCAGCTTACGGCTTCAGCGTCTGAAGTGGCTTCTCAAAATTCCAGGATTCTTTCTCATTTGTTATAGTTTTATTATAATTTCATATCTGAAAGTCTCCACAAATTAAACCTTCCCGTATGGCTCACATGACCCTCACTGATTAAGATATGCTTTGACTCTACATCAAGGGACCTTCCCCACCACGTCATGGATTTGGTATGCACCTTGGTGGCATTATTGCCAAGTTCAGTTCTTCCACACCCTTATTCTCTGTTGGTGCTTGCTTAATAGAGTCTCAACAGCTAGACACAGCTTAGAGGCCCACCATATCTAAATCCAGCCATGCTCTCTTCCTTTCCATTTATAGCCCTTCTCTAATTCATATTCAACATTGCCTTTCTACTGTTTCTTGCTGAATACCACTGGATCCTACTTCTCTTTTTTCCCCTGAATTTCTGCAAGTCTCAGGTTAACTGATACCTAGCTCTTGTATAGAAATGTTATTATTAGGCTAGGATTGTAGGAAGAGAGCCATGTTAGTCTGTGCTGGCAAAAAAATCAGAAGTCATCTGGTAGGGTAGGGAGCCATGGAGATGACCTTGGAGAAAGGATCCAGAAGTCGTTAGGACAACAACAGGTGCCGAAACATGGATTAAGCCCAGGGGTGGGTGGATGGGGAGAGAGTATTAGAAAGAGCTGAACAGATGTATGGGATGGAAGGAAAATATACTGCAAGATGTAGAAACTGGTGTCTGCTGTTCTTATTACAAGACTGCCCCCGGCCCAACTCCCTGGAGTATAAAAGGAAGGGAAGGGAAAATGCAGAGAGATTTGCAAGACTCTGTTACAATAGCCTATCTCATTAAAGTATAGTTCTAGCCTTTGGGTGGAATCAGTTTCCTGATCTGATCTATGTACAGGGCTTACAGATAGCACCTTTTCTGACTAACACATTTTGTTAAAAGGCTTAAGCTTTTGTGAGCTGCAGCGCACCTCAACAGATGCACAGAGTAGCTAACCATTCTGTCTTCCCCTCCCTCCCACCCCCATCTCATCCTAATTTAAATCCTACATCAGTCTAGCCACTCTATGCATCTGATGTTAAAAAAAGAAAAGAAAAGTGAATTTGTTAGTCAGAAAAGGTGCTACCAGACACTTCCTGATACTTGGCTCCTAGAAAGTCAGGAAATGAGCTTGCAACCATGATATATGATGGGCTGAAAGAAACTGTCCTTCCATAGGATGTAAAGAGAAGATAGTTACCACCAACATTTTCTGAGAACAATCCAAATACTTACTCAATACTGCAAGAAATTAAGATATACTTAAAAAAAAAAAAAGTGTGAATGAATTAGTGAATTTTCTTGGGGGTTTCATACAACCCCAGTGAACAGATGTATGGGATGGAAGGAAAATATACTGCAAGATGTAGAAACTGGTGTCTGCTGTTCTTATTACAAGATTCTTCATTAAAGAAGAATCAGGATTAACCATCCAAATATATGGAAAAGAAGAAAGTATGTAAATAATAACTGCATTACTTACCCCTGTCAGAGCCAATGATGGACCTTGGGTATCTTGGTGTCAAAGGTATTTTTATTCGTTCTGTTCTATACTGTAAATTGCTGGAGGAACCTACTTGAAAGTGGAAAATGAGAAAAAAATAAACTTAAGGGGGAAAAAAACCAATAAATTCATTTAGCTCCTGAATCTTCCAAGAAAATAGACAGGCTGGTAACAAGACTCTCTGGAGCAAGTTTTAATTGGTGAGAATTCTCATTTGGATTTGGCCAAACTAGACTTTATGAAGATAGCTCCACAGGTATAAACATAGTTACTTCAATCAAATGCAGGGTGAGGGAGCATCTTATTGTAAAATAAGTGGGATTTAGGGGTAAAGAGTGCAACCCCTCTACATCTCTCTGAAGCACTTCTCTCCAAAAAGTGCTTATCATTTCACCAGCTTGAAGTGCCCTTGGTTGCAGCAACAAGAACTGACAAAATATTATGGTTTTTCCTTATTGATGGGCTGTAAGCTAGGTTGGAAGGCTCTCACATAGAAACCTCCCTTTTCTGCAATTAAAATAAAACCTCTGTTCTTATCTCGCTGGGGAAGTTTCATGTTTAGCTATGCACACAATACTTCTGCATATGTTAACTATGCATAAACACATAAATGAACTGTATATCAGTATATTAATGCCAGTATATTATCACAAAGATATAATGCAAATCAGCCTCTTGCCATGATATAGTGAAAAAGTATCATTTCCAAATAGGTATTTACATGAAAACAAAAGACAGACTGTGTGAGAATCACTCAAAGCAGGCTAGAAAGGCAAAAAGGCTTGCTCAGGGAGGTTTGAGCCAAGGAAGAACATGGAAAAGTACCAGAACAAAGAGTTCAAAAAAGAGAGAACTGAAGATGGTTCCCAAAACAAGAGATAATTCCCATGTGAACTGTATGGGAGGTAATGATATTCTGGAAGAGTACCAGGAAGTATAAGAAGAATGGCAAGGTGGGTCTGGCCAAGCTTTTGATGGACTGTCCAAGCCTTGTGGATATGTATCAAAATGTATGAGGACTGGGAATTCAATATAGAGAATGGGAGTTCCCACCTTGAACTCAACTCAAACCGGGCCTGGCTAACTTGGAAGGTGTCCATGGGTATTGACCAAGTTTAGAAAGTGAAGATGAAAGTTATAAATCTGAACATTTTTTTTGTGTTGTTGTTCCTGAGCTTCTGGATAAAAAGGAACAAGTAGCACTTTCCAGTCCCTAGTGTGATAAAAGGCACTCTGGAGGGCAGAAGAAAGTTCTTACATCTGGTTAACAGCCCCTGATATCATGTATTCCTCTGCTTACATTTTCAAAAATAGCATGTAACCTGATCATAGGACACATTCTGCACAAAAGCTGTCACTAATAAAAGTCTAGACCCTTTCACTGTTTCATATTCAAGGCTGATATATAAATCAGTGCTTAGAACTTTAGGGACAGAAGTCAGTGGAGCTACAAAGAACCAAAATGTAAGAAGAGTCCATTCATGCCATTAAACCCAAATCCCTGCTCAATGCAGGGATCCAGATGAAAGCATCTCCAACAGAGAGCCTCTACTTCAATACCTGTAGCGAGAGGGAGCCCACCAACTCTCCACATAATGGGTTCAGTTTTCCGGGAATGTAAGAACAGCATTCTGTGGCCTGTGTTCTGTGACGATAGAGAACAGACTGTTCCTTCTACAGTCAGACACTGGTTCGGGCACCTGAAGAAAGCTTTCTCAGTGTTCTCTCCACCCAGTTTTTATTTGCAGAACTCTGAGCTTTCTTAGGAGTTCCAGTCATTAATCCAATTCTAATTGTGCGTTGCATCCACAGCTGGACCCGTGCTGACTGGCACGGACTACTTTGAATTAGATTATTTTTGGTCTCTTTGTGAGCAGAGAGAAGACAGTGGAAGCAAATAATAGGGAGGGAGCACAGGCTCCTTACCTAGAAGTACAGTTCTGCAAGTGGCAATCTTTCCCAGCAGGCACAGAAGTATTCCCACACCTGCAGAATATTCCTGGAGTGTTTTAGAGCTGTCTGTTCAGTGGGCTGCAATTTGCAACCCTTCTACACTGCGCATATTCAAAGGTGAGTTATGTATTTACTATAGCTCCTTGAGGTGATACATAACATTTGTCAGTCATACTCTAGAACATTCCAAGAGTGTTGTTGACTCTCCAACAATGTCCTCTGCCAAGAGAAACCCATGTACCTGACGCACTTAGACTACCAAGATGGACTGTTTCTTCCCAATTTCAGAAATCTTACCCAGTCTTGCACTAGAAGGCAGTGAATTTGAGCCATGTGATGATCTTGAGCGTGTATTTTCAGAACACTCGCTGGAGTGCTTATGACTCAGGTCCAAACTCAGATGACCTTGATGTTGAGCACTGCAATACACAGAAAATTGGTTACTTGATCACATGCACTGAACAGCGACATCAAGCACCAGAAATGGGCATAAGACACCATCTCTGTCCAATAAATATGACCTGAAATACAACAGTGGTAGAATGGAGAGATTCACCAGTCTACCTCTGAGTTCTGGCTGAAAAAAATACAGTGAGTACCAGGGCTGTACTGAGAGCCAGAATCAAAGGGCAATATGTGTAACACTTGTCTGGAACCAAATCTTAAACCAAATATATATTTAGTTGGCACTGTATGCCAGCTGTGGAGGACAGTTACACAAATCCAGGAAAGGACACAGCTGCTTTAAAGAGTTCTTGGCTGATGCTACACCCTCAGTCATGTGCATTCTGGATCTGGATTTCCGCATAGTCCTAATGAGTTGGCCTGATGCCTCCTTGAAGGCTTCTCTGAACCTTTTGGCTGACTATGGCTGGAAAAGAAACGCTACAACCCATAGGATTTTACTTCAGTTCAAAATTCTCCTTATCTAAGTACCTGGGATGCAGGTGTTGGTGGCAATATTGATTGGCAGCAGATGAGCAATTGGTGGCATTAATTCTATGGCTCCATGCTGTGTAGATAGGATTTCTCATCACAGCTGTCACGGCAGAACATGGCGCAATGTTTCTTGGGACTGTTCCTACAGAGCAGAGGGAACGAAAGTTACAAAGAGTAATCTCTGCAGTAGCTCAACAATAACAAACAACTGACTGCTTCTATCTCCAGACAGAAAAGCTGCCCTGTGGGCACAGTTGGGCAGATGTCATGCAACAGAAGAAAGAGTCCATACTGACAGAGTCATCACATGCCAGTCACTGGTACTAACCTCCTGACAGGCTTCCGGAGTATAAAGAGGCAGACACAAACCCATCACTGTGCCGACTGGCCCGTTTGGGTGAATACGTCGGCCATTCCTGTAGCTCAGGCGAAAGCAGCTCTTCGCTTGCTGGAGTGTATTTCTGTACCTGTGGGGAAAGTCCAAAGCATCTTCCTATGTTCTGGGCAATATTTCATTGGAATGCCAAAGGCACTGTATCCATTATGAGAGTAACTGCCAAAATCTGTATTTATAAAAGTGTGCTGCACCATCCAGCGGATCAGGACACGTTCACGAACAAAATGATCTCCTGTGAGCTCGTAACAGACTCTTGGATCTACCTCTGAGAACAAGCATTCCAGGTCTTCCCAGGAATGGAATATGTGTGTTCAGATATCCCACTTCATATATAATTTCTACTCACATACAACTAGTCTGATGCAAAATAAATACGTAGCTATGTCTTTCTTACAGCTTGATCATTTCCCCCTTTGTAGTGGAATTTTGGGCTAATTTTCCTGATTACCTTTCCTAGCTTAATCAAGAGAAATTGATAAAAAAGTCTCTGTGATCAGACATTGCATGAAGATTGCCAATTTTTCTGCCTTTACATTACAGGGTTTTGTTTACAACACTTTCATGACGTCTGTTGTAATTATGGCTCCTCCCTTTCCTCTCTGTTCTCTATTGTCCCCAAGCTACCTTCATGCAATTCTTTAAGAAAAATTGGATTTGCTTCTCCTTCAAATCCTAGCATTGGTGGAATAATGATGAGAAACAAAAATATATTTTATTTATGTATAGAGCAACAGAACCAACCTTCTGTAGCCATACTGGCTGATTTTCTCTGAAGGCGTTCAGTGTTTGGGTGCTATCTTTTAATGCTTGTTTTCCCCTGAAAGCCAGAGATTTCAAGCCACAATGATTACTGAAAACAATCTGCAGCCAATTAGTTGTCACAAAATATTCTGTGACACTGTGAACATTCTACACTCAAGCAGGGGGAATGGGAACAAGTTAAACTGTTTTCCAAATGCAGAAGAGAACTTTCTTCAGCTGAAGCCACTTGCCTTCTGAGAAGGCTCAAGCCTACTGGACATTGTCTTCAAATAATATGATTTTGGTGGGATTTTTCTACAAAATAGTCTGGAACATTCAGCTAAATGCATACATTTCTTGAGTGATTTTGCTGTAAAACTGTAATGGAGATGCAGAAATTGTTTACGCTCTTAGGTAGCACACGTAAATGCTCCATCCACCTATCTAGCCATCCATATTTCAGAAAAATACATCAATCAAACTGATTCAACTAGAAAATAATTCTATTACCAAAATGGAAAATGCGGTTTAAAGGAAGAACTAAATCAGTTAGTTGTTCCTTTAAATCAGGTTGGGGGGGGTGTGATTTAGATAAATCAAAATAAATTATTTACATTAGAAGTCAGTCCTAGGAAGTTTAAATAGAGCTCGCTTATACCTAAGTTTGCTTTAATTCAGGTCTCAAGCTTCACATTGTAGAGTTGGATGATTAACGTTTCTTTAAGATGATAAACCATCCAACTCTATAATGTGCCATTTCCAGAGAGACCCCAGCAAAGTTAACAATAAAGTCAAGCTTCACTGATTTTTCTGAGATACAGATTCCTTTGCTTCTATGCAAAAGGCAGAAAGACTTAGTAAGTGCGTAAAAGAGGCAATCTTGTGTGGAAGTGCCACACCAATGCTTTATTTTAACAATCACTTTTGGGGATGTTCAAAAGCATTATGGCACACCTTTAACAAGAAGTTAACCTTTCTGTGATGCAATTCACTTTGATGTAGGAAAGATAATTTAAACATTGAAATCACTCTGGAAAGTGTTGGCCAGGATCCTTCTTCAGGATCCCATATCTACCTGCTGAGATGGATTAGGGATGGGTACGGGGGTTAGTTTATGTCTGAAGGCAGGAGCAGATTTGGGCCTTGGTCTTTTAATTTCAGGCTCTTCCACTCTTTGAAAGCCAATGTCATCTTCACAGGATTTTCTTGAAGGCAAATGTGCAGTGTCTACCCCCTCTTCCCTGTAATAATGTCCTGAGGGTCTACCTCGCCCCTTGAGAACACAAGAATCTGGCTTCAGTTCAATGGATAGAGGGGGCTGGACTGTAGCTGGACTAGGAGGTGGTGAGCCCGTTGTGACAGTAGACTCCGATGCAGAACTGGCCTGCTGCTTGTGCTTAAATTTAATAGAATCACTTCTTGTCGGAGGTGTAGGAGGAGTGGAAATGGCTTCTGTTTTGGAAGGCTGGGGTGAAAGTCCCAACATCTGATTGGGAGACAGATAATCCATTTTGGGAGGAGTCAGAGGTCTTTTGAAAGTGTCAGGATCAAAGATGGATTTCCTTTGTTTGGGCTTTTTGTACACAGAGAATTTTTCTGTTTCTGCTGGAGCAATGTTGACCACGACTTTAGGCCAAGTGCCACCACTGTGTTTTCCACCTGGTCCTTTGTCTAACGCACTCTCAAGCACAATGCAATCTGCAACTGTGGGCTCAAACGAAAGCCTCTGGTTGTCCAGGTTAACTAAACCATAACCTGGCTCTCCATACCCATCTGGACCAAAGGATCCAAGGCTGTGTTCTGAATTACTGTGGCACCCATGGACTGGGTTCCGGTGGGAGTCAGTATGTAAAACGCTGTTGGGGAATGGTTTCAGACTGCAGTACAAACCATTCTCTTGATCACTCTGGTCCTTCTTGACATCCATTATGTCGGGGCTGAAAATATCTGTTTGGGTTGAACTGTTGTGCTTTAAGTTTCTTTTATTTTGAACCTGTACTTCTGATGCATGAACCCTGCAATTTGATATCTTCTCTGAATCCTTAAGGTTTTCAAATATGTTTTGACCACTCCAAGATGAACTTGAGCTCTGAGGATAAACCTAGGTTGAGAAGAAACCACATCAGCATGAATTTAGCAGACCACTGCTACAGAATTTTATGTCAATCTCTCTCTCTCTACCCAGTTGTACTATAAAGCAATACTATATTAATCTACCAACCTGTTGGCATGTTGCACTAAAGTACATCATTTTATACCATTATACTGTTACAAGAAAAACTGAATTCTGAAAATCATATAAAAATATGACATCAGTTTTTATAATTTATTCTGTAATTTGTATTATTACTTTATTCTATTAATTACGGGGATGGGGGAAAAAGCTTTAACGTAGCTTCCTCACCCCACTCAAGTGATGAGCTAAAACTTGTAAAATCCCAAAGAGCATGTAGATTGGCACCTGGTTGGGAAAAGCTTCTATAACAGGTCATTACAATGGCTCCTGATTAGTTCAGCAAAACTTTTGGCTTTTGAGATTTCATTCTTCTTCTTCCATGATGTGAAGAACTCTGAATATCTACATTGCAGAAGTAAGCAAGATTTTCAGCACTGAAGGCCACATCAAGTCAATGCCACAATCTTGGACCAAACCGTGGTCCTGTACATGTATATGTGCTGTATATGCCAATATGGAATTGCTGACTTTTAGGCAAATATATGTAACTTGTCTCTCAAATCAGGCTCAACGATAGAGGACCAGAAGGTAATTAATATGCCACCATTTTTTTAAAAAGACGCTCAGGGAAATTCTGGAAATTATAGGCCACTCAGCTTAATGTCTGTTCCAGGCAAATTGGCAGAAACATTAATCAAAGAAAAAATAACTCAACACATAAAAAAAAGATGTTTTGCTAAAGGAAAATCAGCATGGATTCTCCCAAGATAAATCTTGTGTCACCAACCTTTTAGAGTTTACTAAGAGTGTTACACATGGATGGTGGTGACCTAGATATTCAAAAAGCCTCTGACAATGTTCCTAATCAAAAGCTTTTGAGTAAACTTAACTGGTGAAGCAAAGAGTAGGAATAAATGGGGAATTTTATCAATAAAGGGAAGAATGAAGTGGAATCCCTCAAGGATCTACATTGGGACTGATGCTTTTTAGCTTCAAAAAATCTTGACTTATGTATAAGGAGTCAGATGCCCAGGTTTGAGGAGAATACTAAACTAGTATGGGAGGTAAAAAGTGACTACGAAGAATGAAAGAAGAATCTTTTTAATTTAGCTTAATGACAACTCCAATTTAATTTAATTTAATTAAGTCTAAAATGATGCACACTGGAGCAAGCCCCACTAACTTCACCTGTACACCAATGGGGTCTGAACTGTCTGACAGACAACAGGAAAGAAGATATTGGGATCATGGTAAATAGCACAATGAAGATGATGATGCATTGAAAAAGGCAAATCCCGTGTCTTTTCAAGGGGTCATTAGGAAAGGAACTGAAAATAAAATCATCACTGTAATACCCTTATGCTAATCTTTGGTACATCTGTATCTGTAGTATTGCGAACAGTTCTGATCACCACATTTAGAAAAGGAAATAAAAGACCTGGGAAAAAGGAAAAGGGAACAAACATGATAAAATCTCTTCTTCCCTGTAAAAAAGGCTAGAATGTTTGGGAATCTTTAGTTTGGAAAGAAGGTGACTAAAGAGGAATATGACTGAGATGTATAAAAGCATGCATGGTGTGGAGAAAGTGAACACTTCCCCCCCCCCTTTCTCAAAATACTAGAACCAGGGGCCATCCATTGGAGCTGATTTAAAGATGATTTAGACCAGACAAAAAGAAGTTGAATTCACTCCCCTACCCTAAGATCTGATGGCCAAAATCTGGATGGCTTTAAAAGGGGATTTGATAAATTCAGGAGGACAGGTCTAATGAAAGTTGGGGGCAACATGCCTCCAAATACCAGATGCAAGGAGAAAACAGTGGCAATGAAGTAAATCTCTGTCTCTTGTTTTTGGGCACCCCAGAAACATCTGGACAGCCACAGCGAGAAGCAAAATAATGGATTAAGATGGCCTTAGGCCTGATCCAAAGCCATCTTACCTGCATGTTACATGGCTGCATATTATTTTCATTAATGGAACTGATCGCTGAAAAATATGGACCTCTGCATTATGGTACTTTTTGAAACTGTTGGAAAAATGTTGTTCTTGAATATAAGACCTCGACTCGTGACAGTAACATTAGGATTTTGGGGGCGATCAATGCTTTCAAGTGCATCTATCTACTTAAAAGCATGTGAACCGCTGACTAAAGATGCTCATCTGGAGCAGTCAAACCTTTCTCTTTCTTCTCCCTGTAGCACACATCAGGAGGATACATGGATGGTTCATTTATGAAATAAAATGAACAGCAGTTACTCTTCTATGAAATTTTAGGAGTGGAAAGCATCAGAATACGGTGGAAGTGGGAAAGAGTCTTGGGGATGGGTAGGTGATAAACTACGAATCTGTGTGATGAATCTACAAAGATCCTTTTTTCAGTCCTTTAATGGGCCACCCCATCAGAACTGAAATCGATGGCTACTGCTCTACCAGTAAAGATGCCGCAGCATGATACATGAGTCTCTTTGCTTAATCTTCTGGTATGTGATTCTTTCTTCAGAAGAAGAAATGGGGATTATGCACGGTGGCAGGTTTTTGGGAGGGTCAG